GACGCACACTCATCAGACGAAACGCGGAATTCCACTTGACGCGGGTCTTCTGTGTGGTCGTGGTATTTCACCGGTCGAGCCTGGCCAAGTCGTGCGAAGATGTTAAAGCGGGCTCTACCACTGTTACAAGGTATTTCCAGAACAGCCAAATGGATTTCGCTGAAATTTGACATAGATGTAGAACATAGTCTGTAAGAACACATAGGCTGCCAAATTTTGTTTATTTTTTAATTCCGCGTAGACAAAGTTGCAAGCAAAAGCAAACTGGTAGAGTAAAATTTGTTGGTGACGGTACCTGACTTAATCCAAGATGTACAGATGCTGTCTCACTGATATACATAATCTTGCCGTCAGGAGCCACCACGAAGATGAAGCCGTCCAATGTCTGCAGTAAATGTGAACCCAGTTCTCGTATGGAGAGTTCACGCGGCTGTAATGGCGGCGGTGCTGCGCCCCACGCGTCACCGAGACCTGTATGAAATATTTTCCAAGTTAGTTTATCGAAATTCAAAAATCGAATTCGGAATTTTAAAAATCGAATTTGGAATTTTGAGAATCGAATTCCAAATCCAAAAATTGTAAAATGAAAATCGATTTTTAAAAATCGAATTATCTATTTTTTAATTTTGATTTTTTCAAGCTTTGTCAGATATTTTGGTCAAAGTGCGAAAATACTTTGCCAAACTTGAAAAGTGAACTAAACAAAGCGCAAAATATAGTCAATGTTCTATCCCTACTCATTTGGAAGACATATGTAGTAGCGGAATTCGTTTTTTCCTTTGCGATCCTTCAACTATAGAAAAAACAGAACAACATCTAAGAATCTATCAAGCTGTTTTAAATTGTCGTACTGCATTCCAGTATGCGCCATATACAGTCTTGCAGGAGTTCACAACACTCACCGTCAGGAAAGACCTGCCTCATCTTCAAATAACTCGTCGTCAATCTGATCACTGACGCCTTGTCGAGCTGCGAGGTGATAGCTGAAGGTAACGGCAGGAGTTTCGCAAGTTCTAAGAACTCAGAGTTCTCTTTCTCCCGACGGGAGCGAGCCGCGTTCTTACTCTTCTCCTTCATGATGGCAGTCGCGTCTATTGACAATGGCCGCTGCTCCCTGCGGCAGGCTGAAAAGGATACTACATAAATAACAAGTCTTATTACGTACTCTATGAAAATAAGTTAATGATTAAATAATCGTCGAATATTAAAAAAAAAACAGTAGGCTATAATATGCCCGCGAGCATCAGCTCCCGTCCCGTCCAAGTCCTGAGAAAATCTGTCCAGCGGTTCCAGAGATTGCACGGAACAAACGGTCTTGCGGACAGACAGACAGACTGACAAAATTAAACA